AAAGTGGTTGCTGGCATTTCCTGCAGGTCCAGGCTTCGTCAAAAGGAAGTAGAAACAGGAGGGGCCCAGGGGAATCGCACACAAGCTCCCTGCCTGGGCCCCCAGCTTGTCCGATCCACACGGAGGTACAGGTCGGTCCACACCATGCCTGCAGCACCCGGAGCCTCTGACACGGGAAAAAGGAAGTAGGTCCAGGGTCCCGGTGCCCAGTTCTGTTCCAGCAAATCAACCCCACGCAGGTGCACCCGACACCCCCACCCCGAGGATGGAACACAGCGAGGCCCAGGAACACCCACCGTTTGGGCGTGCATTTGTGGGAAAGGCTTTTAAAACTTAAGGGAATCGTGGCCCCCAGACCCGGCTGGTGGCTGCCTGGAGCAGAGCACAGCGGCGGGGTCGCTGGTCAAGTCCCAGCTCAGGCTGCACGGGTCCACGCCGAGATGAGACCATGAACAGAGGGAGACATCACGGGCACACAGGGCCGAGGTGGTGCCAGACTCAGAGCCGGGTGCGGCCGCAGACGTGGGCGCGGGGCCAGAGGAAGCAGGCGGGGTGAGGGAGGGAGGAGAGGGAGCAGGTACCCAGTTCGGGGACCTGGAGGTGCTCCTGTGACACTTGGACCCGAGGAGGTGACGTGAACTAGCCCGGAAGTGGAAAGGACTCCAGTGCCCATCAGCTCAGGATGGAGGCACACGAGGTGGTCTGTCCACACCCGGGATATCACTCAGCCATCAAAGGGGTGCAGCGCCAACCCTCGTCGGGGGGTGGATGGACCTGGAGGGCGTCACACTGAGCGAGAGCGGCAGAACACTGACAGCGCGGTGCTCAGGTCACGTGCTGGGCCGTCCAGCTCAGGAAGCAGACGGCGGCTGCCCGGGAGGGCGTGGCTGCTGCCCGTGTGGGATCCTCCGGGGCAATGACGATGCCTTGGAACCAGACACCACACTGGAATGCACTTTAAAGTGGCGAATTTTACGTGAATTTCACCTCGATAAAAAAAAATTCATTTTATTTAACAAGTGACTCCTGAGCGAATCAGGTCTGTGCGGGACACACGCGGGTTTCCTACTCGAGGTGATCGCGCGGGGTGGAGGCGTGGGCAGTACAGTCACTAACCTTGTTCCTTCTGGAAGGAAGAGGTAAGACTCACGTGTGCAGCCAAGGCAGCTTTGCTCTGACATTTACTGATGCTAAATTCACAAAAACCCCAGCCTCATCCATCAAATCTCTATTTTATTTATATTCAGCCTAGTTTCAAAAAAGGACTGGAGGCAGCGACCCATTTCCTGGACCCGTCTCTGCAGCAGAGCAGCGGGTTCTGTCTGGAAAGATGGGGGGGTGTGTGGAGGGGGCCAACAGGACAGCCGACCTCCCCCTCAAAGGAGCCCGGCCCACGGAGCTGGCCCCCAGCCCTGCCTCCCACCGCGGCCCCAGCTCTCCGCGGCCCCAGCTCTCCGCGGCCCCCACACCCGGTCACACCTGCCAGGCCCGTTTTGCTTCATCAAGATGTAAAA